TTGGGCATTACAACACGTTTTATGTGAGATCCAGATTAATTTATCAGAGACACATTAGGAGAAGTCAACAGGGATGCAGCACATAAAAAACAACTGAATGATCAAATACCCTCTCATTGGAACTGTGGGTTATATAGATAATAATAAATATTATCTGGTACTGTATATCATCTGTTTCCTGAACAGGTAGGTGAAAACAAATAACACGAAGTTAGAAAAACCCAATGGAACTGGTAGGAAGTAAATCAAATTTAATTAAAGCAGTCAAAAGTGCATGATTTATTCATTTATTCATTATTCGTCCTGGAGTTTTGTTTATACATTTGAAATGAACAAGATATTTTTTTTTTTTATTGTAACTACTAGTAGAATTGGACAGGGAATATTTCCAGTTTTACGTTGTAGGTTCTCCGTATCATTTAAGAGTATTTGTCTTGTTATGTTGATTCACCTTTCTTCCAATTCCCCTCTTTCTATCACTCCTGAACTTTTTGGAAAAAAACAAGAGAATTCTCAAGAAATAATTCTTGGCAATTTTTTAAAGTAAATAAATAAATAACATCAGGGGATACTTGAAAATATGAGAAATCTAAACACACCCTTCCTCACTAATCATATTTTTTTTTTTTTTAAAAAGGAAAAAATTACAGACTTACATGGAAACAAGATAAATCTCAATATTTATTTTCTGGTAAAACATTTTTAAACACATATTCACCCTTTTATGGTTAGTCACTTCCTAATCAAAATGCGTGGGTGTAGTAGGGCCGTCATTGAGCCATCGATGCTCCTTTGTATCACAATAATGTCTGAAATGTAAATACAAACAAAAAAATACAAACCATAGACTATTATCCATATACTTGACTTTTTTAACAAATGCTGTTTATAAATGCATTCAGATAAGAGTTTTTGTTCTTATCTTATTTTTGTCTATTAACTTAAAAATATTCAGCACATTCGCTGACGGCCATCAAGCAAGGGTTGGCTTTACAGACTTAAGAATAATCTGTGACCAGATCTTGCATTACCAAGTTAATATCCATGGTTTAGAGAAATGTATTTGCAGCCTGAAATACTTTGTAGGTTTTAAATGTTACATAAACACTGCCTTGGGTTTACAGAATAAATTAGCAGGATAATTTATAAAAAATAAATATATTTTAATTGGCTACATTTAACTTTATTAGCCTGAACCCACATCCCCTCCCCACCTTTACCAAACCACATTTGCTTTTAAGATTAAATTATGAAGAGGCATAAAAGCATAAAGCACATATTTAAATGGCCATGATTCATTTTTTTATGGTTTTTTTTTTGGTCATGATGAGCCTTTCTTTGGAATGTGTTGCACAATCAGCAGGAAGGCATTCTATACTAGCACCACCCATTGGTGAATCGGGGGCCCTCGCCACTGTCCTATTCACAAATGATCATAGCAAATTCTTCTTACTTCCATAATAAGTGGTGACAAGATGTCATGTGTTACTAGTCAAGCAGGCAAGTAACACCTGCCTGTTAATAAAGGAAATATATAATATTTTTTAATATTGAAAATAAAAGATTACATATAATATAGACTAGGGATGTGCATGGGCAAAAAATTCAGTTCAGTTCGGCATTCCGAAATTCGGCATTTTGGCAATTCGGGACTTGGGCAATTCAGCACTTCGGCAATTCGGTTTGGCACTTCCGAAATTAGGCAATTTGGGACTTCGGCACTTCAGGTAAGTGTAGGTTTAGGGTTAGTGTTGGGTTAGGGGTTGGGTTAGGGGTAGGGTTAGGGTTAGGGTTGGGTTAGGGTTGGGTTAGGAGTAGGGTTAGGGTTAGGAGTAGGGTTATGGTTGGGTTAGGAGTAGGGTTAGGGTTGGGTTATGGTTAAGGTTGGGTTAAGAGTAGGGTTAGGGTTAGGAGTAGGGTTAGGGTTATGGTTGGGTTAGGGTTAGGGTTGGGTTAAGAGTAGGGTTAGGGTTAATATTAGGAGAAGGGTGAGGGTTAGGAGTAGGGTTAGGAGTAGGGTTAGGAGTGGGGTTAGGGTTGGGTTAGGAGTAAGGTTAGGGTTAGGAGTAGGGTTACGGTTGGATTAGGAGTAGGGTTACGAGTAGGGTTAGGAGTAGGGTTAGGAGTAGGGTTAGGAGTAGGGTTAGGGTAGGGTTTGGTTAGGATTAGGGTAGGGTTAGGTTAAGAGTAGGGTTAGGGTTGGATAAGGAGTAGGATTATGGTTAGAGTTGGGTTAGGAGTAGGGTTAGGGTTGGGTTAGGGTAGGGTCAGGGTTAGAAGTAGGGTTAGGGTTGGGCTAGGAGTAGGGTTAAGGTTAGGAGTTGTCACGTATTCATCCGCACATAACAATTTGGTTAATGGCATTAACTGCCCTGACAGGAAAGGTTGTGCTGAGCAACATTACCGTTCAGAAAGGAAAAGTTCTGCCAAGCAGCAGTCATGCACATGGAAACCTGGTAATTACTTTTGTGGTCAAAGGCCGGTCATGGCCAATCAAATCCACAGGAGGGTTTGTGCTGAGCAGCAATCATGCACATGGAAACCTTGTAATTGTCTTTGGGGTCAACAGGAGGGGTATTTAAACCCAATTCTCCTCTTGCTCATTGCCCTCGCGTGGTTTCATGCCTATGGTTATCCGAGAGTGCGTTCCTGATCTTGATTTTCTGGTATTTGACTTTGGCTTTACTTCCATGATATCTGGTATCCTTGACTTTTGGCTTTCACTCATCTGTGTGTCTGATTCTGTGTCCATGACCTCGGCAAGTATTTTGACTATTCTTGGAGACATTAAGTCGGCCATTCTAAGGTCCGGATATATGTTATCCTTAGTCCTAGGTGTGACACAGTACTGCATGCTGGATCAACTTGTAATCCTGACACGAGTAGGGTTAGGGTTAAGAGTAGGGTTAGGGTTAGGGTTGGGTTAGGGTAGGGTTAGGGTTAGGAGTAGGGTTAGGGTTGGGTTATGGTTAGGGTTAGAGTAGGGTATGGGGTTAGGAGTAGGGTTAGGGTTAAAAATAGGGTTAGGAGTAGGCTTAGGGTTAGGGTTGGGTTAGGAGGAGGGTTAGAGTAAGGGTTAGGAGTAGGGTTAGTGTTGGGTTAGGAGTAGGGTTAGGGATGGGTTAGGGGTAGAGGTAGGTTAGAGTTAGGGGTAGAGGTACCCCTACCCTAATCCTACCCCTAACCCTACCCTAACACTAACCCTACTCCTAACTCTAACCCTACCCTAACCCTACTCCTAACCCAACCCTAACCCTACTCCTAACCCAACCCTAACCCTACTCTTAACCGAACCCTAACCTAAGCCTACCCTAACCCTAGCCCTATCACTACTCCTAACCCTACACCAACCACTATCCCTGACCCTACCCCAACCCCAATCATACCCCTACCCGTTTAGCCACTTTTCAGAAGTCCTAAGCACTTTGGCACTTCTGAAATTTGGCACTTCGGCAATTCGGTTTGGCTCAGCACTTCCAAAATTCAGCACTTTGACACTTTGGGAATTCAGCACTTTGGCAATTCGGTTTGGTTCCGCACTTCAGAAATTCGGCACTTCAGCAATTTGGCACTTTGGACATTCAGATATTCGGAAGCATCCGAATGTTCGAATGTCAGAAATTCATTCGAGCTTTTATTTGGACCAAACTGAATTGCACATATCTAACAGGGTTAGGGGTAGGGTTAGGGATGGGTTATGGTTAGGGTTAGAGTAGGGTATGGGGTTAGGAGTAGGGTTAGGGTTAAAAATAGGGTTAGGAGTAGGCTTAGGGTTAGAGTTGGGTTAGGAGGAGGGTTAGAGTAAGGGTTAGGAGTAGGGTTAGGGTTGGGTTAGGAGTAGGGTTAGGGATGGGTTAGGGGTAGAGGTAGGTTAGAGTTAGGGGTAGAGGTACCCCTACCCTAATCCTATCCCTAACCCTACCCTAACACTAACCCTACTCCTAACTCTAACCCTACCCTAACCCTACTCCTAACCCAACCCTAACCCTACTCTTAACCGAACCCTAACCTAAGCCTACCCTAACCCTAGCCCTATCACTACTCCTAACCCTACACCAACCACTATCCCTGACCCTACCCCAACCCCAATCATACCCCTACCCGTTTTGCCACTTTTCAGAAGTCCGAAGCACTTTGGCACTTTTGAAATTTGGCACTTCGGCAATTCGGTTTGGCTCAGCACTTCCAAAATTCAGCACTTTGACACTTTGGGAATTCAGCACTTTGGCAATTCGGTTTGGTTCCGCACTTCAGAAATTCGGCACTTCAGCAATTTGGCACTTTGGACATTCAGATATTCGGAAGCATCCGAATGTTCGAATGTCAGAAATTCATTCGAGCTTTCATTCGGACCAAACTGAATTGCACATATCTAACATAGACTGTTTGATTTATTTTGTAAATCATACACGTAAGTTAACACCTTTTTTCAGTCCAACTCCTGCCTTATGCTTGCTCTGTGAGGCTGGTGCTCTTTACTTGAAAGTTGAAAGCATGATATCTCTACTTGACAGTTGAAAGCATGACATATTGGTTTAGACTATGCACAAACAGTCAAACCCAGCTCAGAGTGCGTTTTTGAGATGCCCATCACTTGGACATGACAATTGAATTTGTAGACATGCACTAGCTATTGGTAATTTAAATGGACTTTGGTTTGTAACCAGCCCTGTTACCTTCCCCACTTGGACCAGTGTGGGTTACCCCAGTCTCTGCTAGAGAGGTTACTAGATTTTAATTCAGAGACTTTATCTTTCTTAACTTGATCATATCTCTAGTTGGCCATCGATTCTGGGCGAAGCTCACTCTCCGCTGTCTCTGGAAATCTAACTGCTATTGGTTAATGGTTCTAGCATATGCCGCCATCCTCTCAAGCTGAGAGAACTGATCTCATGCCCACAAACTGTAGATTTCTGCAGGCAAACCTGTCCTAAGAACTCTGAGGACATGCTACCGACAAATCTCACTACCTACTATATGAAGGGGAATGAATGACGTGGAGAGAAGTCACAAAGGCATATTCCGGGTAAACCTACATCTACTTGTGTTATGTATCTTCTACAGAGCTTATCTGGGCATGGAACCTCCTGTGAGTTATTCCCACTATACCACCCACATTTGCAGAGGACCATTAGGAGATTTTTGGTCTCTGTGCAGTCCCTTTGTGGGGAATGACGTAACTCTAGGAATGGTCAGTGGAGATAGAGTCTCTGACTCTACTAACTTGTAATATCCCTACCTAGTTTATGAATTAGTTGATAGTCTCTTCTCCTCTTACTTTGAATCTTAGCTATTAGCATTAAGTCTCTACTAATGTGCATCCAAGTGTTATTTGACCTACCAGTGGTATCATAGTTTTCAATCTTGTATTCTTATCTCGTTTTATTTATTTATTTATTTATTTATTTTGTAAATTCTTTATTTGTGATATTTTTCATTTTTAAAAGTTTAACATGAAAGGGAAGTACAGAAAGGAGAAACATAGGCATTAGATCGGTGAGGCTGCATTTCCAAATAGCATAACACTGTTAGACAACCACAATACACAAGAATATCTTGTAATGTTAGTGTTGGTCAATAGTTTGTGTCAGGTGTCCAAGTGCCTGGGAAATACTGTGTTAGCTGAAGAACAGTGAGGACATGTCGGTGGTGATAAGAACGTGAGTCCGTTATCTGAAGTCCACCACCGTCTAGCTTAATAGCAAGCTCGGGGGGGGGGGGTACATGGATGTGTGCTTTAGAATGCAAGCTATAGGTGTGTTGATAGCTGGAGCAAGACCATGTATGTATGTAGTGGTTTGAGGACCCGTGGCTCCTGTAACCTCTAGGCTATGGTAGGGGAATGCGCCGCTGTAGTAAGCGGGTGCTAGGTTTCAGTTTGGCTACGTCCAGGGAAGTGTGAGTAAGTGTGAGCGATTGCAAGTTGGTAGTTGAGTAGAGAGATACTGGGGGAAGAAAGAGTTTGGGGTAGGGATCTAGGTCAGCAACGCTGAGTCGGGTAAACTCGTTTTCTTTTTATTTCTGCTCTTATTTCCTTTTTTTTCTTACTTTAATATGTGGTATGCATGACTTTTCGGCACTCAGAGGCATTGGTTTCCAATTCCATTCCAAATGGCGAACATATTTTGAAATAATACCTGAAAGAACTTCAGACACCATATAGTCCATTCTCACTTCGGTCAGCCAAAAAAATCCTTACATAGAAACATAGAAACATAGAATGTGACGGCAGATAAGAACCATTCGGCCCATCTAGTCTGCCCAATTTTCTAAATACTTTCATTAGTCCCTAGTCTTATCTTATAGTTAGGATAGCCTTATGCCTATCCCACGCATGCTTAAACTCCTTTACTGTGTTAACCTCTACCACTTCAGCTGGAAGGCTATTCCATGCATCCACTACCCTCTCAGTAAAGTAATACTTCCTGATATTATTTTTAAACCTTTGTCCCTCTAATTTAAGACTATGTCCTCTTGTTGTGGTAGTTTTTCTTCTTTTAAATATAGTCTCCTCCTTTACTGTGTTGATTCCCTTTATATATTTAAATGTTTCTATCATATCCCCCTGTCTCGTCTTTCCTCCAAGCTATACATGTTAAGATCCTTTAACCTTTCCTGGTAAGTTTTATCCCGCAATCCATGAACCAGTTTAGTAGCCCTTCTCTGAACCCTCTCTAAGGTATCAATAACCTTCTGAAGATACGGTCTCCAGTACTGTGTACAATACTCCAAGTGAGGTCTCACCAGTGTTCTGTACAATGGCATGAGCACTTCCCTCTTTCTACTGCTAATACCTCTCCCTATACAACCAAGCATTCTGCTAGCATTTCCTGCTGCTCTATTACATTGTCTGCCTACCTTTAAGTCATCAGAAATAATCACCCCTAGATCCCTTTCCTTATATGTTGAGGTTAGGACTCTATCAAATATTCTGTACTCTGCCCTTGGGTTTTTACGTCCAAGATGCATTATCTTGCACTTATCCACATTAAATATCAGTTGACACAATTCTGACCATTTTTCTAGTTACCTAAATCATTTGTCATTTGGTTTATCCCTCCTGGAACATCAACCCTGTCAGTGCCCAGAATAAAGACAAACTCAGGTTCCCAGGCATTGAGTCACACTGCTGCCACATTCTGGAACTCTTTATTTCGAGAGGCACCTTCATTATTGAATTTTTTAAAAAGCTAAAGACCCACCTTTTTTACTAAGCATTCAGTCAGCCCATCTGACTATCAGAAACACCTAACGTTTGGGTCTGTTTTATATGTTTGTAAAGTGCTTTGAGTCTCACAGGGAGAAAAGCACTATAAACATTGCAAATTATTATTTATTATTATTATGATACTCATGCATGCAGTTGTTTTATTATGCAACTAGAGTCATTTCTGCTATCTGATATATTACACTCTGTTCTATGCCAAATATTCTGTACTGTGTTATACAAACTATTACAAACGTCCAGGATTTGCGATGTTTCCCATTTCTTTACTGATGGATTCGTATAGGTACAGCAGTCATTTCTTACATTTATTGACAATCAATATCCACATGTTTAGCCCTCGGACTAACGGTGACTACATGAAGGTTCTCGGTTATTACTGGTAAATGTGAAACACAGTTGCAACCGAGAACATGGCAGGCAATAGGATTAAAAAGTTTAGTAAGTGCAATAGAACAGAGTTGTAAGAGTTGTCTAGATTAACTAATGGATTTGTTTGCATGGACATACATAGGTCCACAGCAGACATTTGTGCCTCAATTTGGCACTAAATTGTGTATGTGAGTTAATATGTTGTCCCCACCATTCCGCAGACTAGATTTAGAATTCAGAATAAATTTTGGAATGATTTGCTTCCTGAAATCTGTCTTAAACCTTACAAAAAGAGTTTACATATTGTGCACGCAAACCTGCTGTATCTGCAAACTCTCTCCAACTTGTCATGTTGCTCTTAGCCTGTGTCAGCCTATGGAAAGTTGTGGATAGTCTGCCATCTAGTGATAAACATTTGCTTGCTACAAAAATCATAGTTACTGATTAGTATGTAGCACAAATATTGCCATAATCTCTTTGATATTTAACATGGCAAAGAAGCTATATATTCCTATGTAAGTTTTTTTTTTTAGAGCAAGAGAGTTATAAAACCACGTACCCCGGTCAAATTCTTACTATTAAGTCCTACATTCCATGAGATTAAAGGAGAAGCCTACCAATACCATATTTTCAGAAGACATAGTCTCCCATACTTTTAATAATAAGTACAGTAACTAAAAAAAATATAAAGTGGTAACAAATATAAACATGCTATGGTCCCCCATTTAACCACAAGACAGTCAGCATTTGTCTCTGTTTTCTTCAGTTGTGGGTCGAGGGACAAGGGGACAAATGTCCCCATGACCCTGTAATAACCGATCAAAGTCTGATGAACAGCCTTTTTATTTACAGTGTGTTATGCACAGGGTGAAGAGGTTCGTAGTGCTACTGGGACTTAACTATACCCTGGTTATGTTTCTCGTGTTCATTGGGATGCAATTTGCACCTCAAAAAGTTTACCCATTTCTGACACAAGTTGTAGCTAATGCAATATATAATCAGAAACACACTTTATTTAATACGCAAAAGATAAATCTTTATTAAGTGTCGAAAGTTAAAAAAATCACTTACAAGAACAATTCCAAGGGGTCACCGTACACACTAAAACAATTAAGGAGAGTACTATAATGTTTATGCTTAGTTATCTAATACATAAATTGATCATATTGTTGACAAAAAATACAAATGCAAAATGTATACCAAAACAAATAGATACACAGATAAATGGCCCAATATAATGTTACCTTCCATAGTGAGTATCTAACAGGAGTGCCACCCAATGTTTCGACCTAACCAGGTCTTTCTGGAGATATAGTCAAGGAACTTGTTCATGTGCTTATAATTTGCCAACTCAGTTAGTGTAGCTCATTATTTATTTGATTTACGAAACTTACAATTGTCTGCAACAATCAGTTATGAATTCTGCTTCGAGGTTTATCTCCCTTACCCAATGCTTCTCCACACCTCATCCCTTTGCCATTCCTAACGAAAGCTTCCTTTACCATTTGAGGTCCAATTCAAACTACTGATACTAACATACAAAGTTATTCATTAGGTAAACTTTTCTCTTTTTTAATTCTTCAGTACCCCCTTCAGTTTCCCCAAGCATCATTATCTTGTCCTCTGTTTTATTATTAGTTCTCACATATAGGACATCTGAAAAACAACCCTCAAAAGTCCATTAAAACTCATGTATTTGGCAAAGCTTATCATGTTTCTGTCTCTGCCCATTATCAAAAACATTTAAAAAACAGACTCCTCTATAATCCATCATCATTTATAAAATTAAAATAGAATCACTTTTTGCGACCATCCTCATTACTGATCAAACCTCTGCATATATTTTGAAAAAGGGTATCTAGTGTAATAAAACTAGGCTTTTGATTTTTCAGTTAAAAAACAAAAAAATAAAAAAGTATAAAAGAAAAAAAATACCTAAGTTATCTTTTCATGTTACTGAATGATGGAATTTGAGGTATATATCAGAATGTTAGATATAATTAGGTGTATGGACCATTTTTTATTAATTTATATGGGTCTAAAACCGCCAATGCAATTTTTAACGTACCTGTTGAATTAATCCATTTTAAAGGAACACTCCAATCACCATCACCGCTATAGAGTTCTGTAGTGGGTTTTGTTTTGTTTAGAACTTGATACTATACGCTTTTACTGCAATAAAATACACAGATTTAAGTTCAGTGATGTATGATGAGAACAACAGAACCCCTTATGTACAGGTTGTATGGTGTTTTGGAAAGTTACAGTGTTAAAGGCTTGCTCTGGACATTCTGTCTGGGTGTCAGGCAGGTGCCTCAAATTATAATTACAAGGATCACATAATTATGTAAAAATAATTGATAAATATACACCTAGAATATGCATATTCTAGGTGTATATTTATATTCTACGTGTGTGTGTATATATACAGTATCTCATAAAAGAGAGTATACCCCTCACATTTTGTGAATATTTTATTAAAAGTAGTAAGTGTACAGCCTGTATAACAGAGTAAATTTGCTGCCCCCTCAAAATAACTCAAAACACAGCCATTAATGTCTAAACAGTTGGCAACAAAAGTACACCCCTAAGTGGAAATGTCCAAATTGGACCCAAAGTATCAATATT